TTTCGTCATTTCAGTTTATTCGAAAGTTATGACAATTTTAAGTGATTTTTTTTTCACTTCTTCTTTTGTTTTAATTACTGATTATTTGTAGAAAATTTATACAAGACACCAGAGAGTTAACACTAGATTGCCTAAGGAAGTCATTTTGACTGCTTTTAATTTCAATTAGAAAAGCAATGACGTATATAATGATACAATTTCTTAGAATTTTGTGACTTTCTGTACAACATATAATTTTTTTATTTTTAATATTTACTNATATTGATAGCTAAAAGACTCTTTCTCTCTCTTTGTGTATATAAATATATATATACAACAAAATAAATAAATACAAGAAAACACGTAGAAAGTTAAGAAAAACATGTCTATAATTTTTCTTTGTTTTATTCTTCATTTTGAACTTATATATATATATATATATACAGATTTAATAAATTGTATAAAATTCGAAACAGCATAAGGAATGATTTTTTTAATGCTTCTATGTCTTTACTTTAATAAAATCTATTCTGTATACTTAAGTGTTAGAGTGGTTATCAGAATATTATTAAGTTAATCTTAAATTAATGATAAATCTTAAATGAATGATCTTTTAATCATCTTAAATTAAACTGTTCCGCAAAAATAATTTTACAGACTCTTATGTGCATCATATCCAACAGTAATTATAAATTTTAGTGTTTCTGAATATCGAGGGAAATAATTCTTCGTGACATAAGCTGATTAGGATTTCGAAAGATATAGGAAGTCACGTGATCATCGTGTTACTACTCAGGCTCTTAAAATGTTTTTCGAATAACCTAAATAATGAAATGTCACCAATAATCAATAAAATAAAACTGAAATAATTTTCAAAAAGTCAAATCATGGGAAAACTTGTGATCGTGATAAATTTTGTAAATCAGGTGTTAAAAAAAACTCAAAGTACGTAAGTATTATAAAGTTAGTTTTGTGTGTGATTAAAACTTACAGATCAATTTTTTTAATAAATCTGAAAATGTTACTGTTTGGTAACATATTTATCAAAGGCAATAAAAAAAATTTGAAAACAACGTAAAGCTACCGGATTGGGAAAAAAATGATAAATAAAAAATTAGAATTCATCTAGCTTCATTATTAGCGTCGGTATATATTTTACAGGTTTCTGCATGATTTTGTAGTGTTGTTAAATACTGATTTATTGATCCCCCCCCCCGGACGAAGAGCGAACATTCTATTAGTTATAAATATTTATCTTAATATTTTTCATGACATTAACAAAGAGCATGTCATAATCGCAACTATTGCTCAAACATGTAAAATAAATAATAAATAATCATACTTCCAAAACTTTTTACAAAAATTTTCACCTAGCTTTTTTTTTTCTTGGATAATTATAAATATTATTAACTGATCTAAAGTTCGAATTTATGATTACATCTTGAAAAGTATAATGGAAAAAAAAATAGTTATCTCAAAAAAATTCTCGAGAGAACTTAGAAAAAAAATCTATACTGTCTAGACTAGAAGAACAAAACGAATGATTTATCATGTAAAAAGGATTTACTTTTTCGAATATTTTTAACTAGAAATTTCGACTTGTATGAGAATATTCGTAGAGAAGTACAAATGCGTGGCTTTGTTCCCTGATGAAAGCGTTAACGTAATACATGAACATATCACATTTTTCTAAAGCAAAAAACTATTTAACTTTGAAATTTGAATAATATCTTGTGAAATACCAGACGAGTATTAGAATCACTTGTCTAAAGGCTTATTTTCCAGGCATACGCTTTTTTTTCCAGTGATTTTCAACAGTTTCACTTAAATTGAAAAAATAATCTTCATTTTTCAAAATAATCTGACTATGAATAAAAAATATTATTTTCACAAGAGACATTTTAAGAGAACCAGCAATACATTTTTAAAATATTTTAATATAAGGTTACGGAGTTGAACATCAGTAGTCGAAAACCCAAAAATTGGGTAGGCTGTTCAACGACGGTTATGAAATAAAATAAAATATCTGAGAGTTGGCCGGGATAGTCTGGTTGGTAGGGCACTAGGTCCATGTTCAAGAGTTCGTGGGTTCTATCCCCGTGTAGTAAATGGGGACTGATGCAATCTGTCGAGTTGCAAAGTCCTCCATGTTCGCATAACAAATCATACTTCGGGGGTACTGATTCAGGAGTTTCCTTGTGTTCTGGATTGGTTCAAAATTACAAGATTACGGAGTTGAGCATTAGTAGTCGTAAGCCTAAAACTGGGTCGGCTGTTCAACGACGGATACAAAAAGGTATAAAATACCTGAGAGTGGTAGTTCAGGGGATAGAATTTTCGCCTTCCAAGGAGTTAAACGAGGTTCGAATCTCAGCCATGGCTTGCACCGACCGACGTTAAATATTCTCAGTGGTTGACGGATCATGGGTTAGAGTCCGATGGCCGGCAGGCTAACCGTGCAACCGTTTTCGTGGCTTACTTCTCCGGATTTTGCACTTGTAAAGCAAAGGCGGTTAGTTCCGTCAAAAAGTTTTCCATGAAGGCAAATTTCTACCAATACTTGATCCAGGAGTTCCCTTGTCTTCTGGAGTGGGTTCAAAATTACAAAGCTACGGTGTTGAATTCATTTACTACTATCATTACTGTACTATTACTGTACTACTGTGTATTATCATTTGTATACTATTTATTTAAAACAATACGATAAGTGCAATTATTGAAATTTGCAACGATTTTAGAACTGCTTGAGAATCTTAATCAGTTTGTTAAATATTATAAAGTGGGGAAAGTTCTTTTCTGTAAATTTTTAATTAATCCTTATATCTTAATAATTTCTTTTTTTAAAAAAAATATCTGGTTTCCTTCGAATAAATATTTCATTACATTAAAATCTGACTCAACGACCCGAATTAAATCAGTCGTTAAATTCATACACTATCTAGCCATTAATGACCGGACACCCCTTGAACAGCAGGTGGACTCGTCCTGACGGAATAAATACGGAACCTGTGGAGGAGGAAAGACCATTCTCAAGCAGGCGACGGCCATACGAGCGTTAACAGTGAAAATGAGTAGCTGGCGAGAGCTGAATGAGGCGGAAAGGGGCATGATCATAGGCGCTCACCGATTTGGTCATTCCATACATGCCATCTTCGACAAGTTTCAGATACCACGGTCAACAGTTGGTGACGTCGTGTTGAAATGGGAACGAGAGGGAGTGATAAAACCGTAGTCCCGACACGGCATGCCCAAAATAATGTCCGACAGGGATCGACGATCTCTTCGACGTGTAGTGAAGGCAAACCGACAAATGTCACTGGACACTGTCGCTACCAACTTCCGGGCTGCATCTGGCAGTGTTGCCAGTACACGTACCATTCGTCGGGAGCTGATTGCACAAGGATTCCATGGAGGAGCAGCAGCACATAAGCCAAACATCTCTCCATCAAACGCCCGCCACCGATTTCGGTGGTGCAGAGCACGTCGCCAGTGGACAGAAGAGCAATGGAAAAGCGTTATGCGGAGTGATGAGTCACGCTACATGCTGTGGCACTCTGATGGACGGGTGTGGACCTGGCGAATGCCCGGAGAACGGTACCTACCGGAGTGCATTGTCCCCACTGTGAAGTTCGGCGGTGAAGGAATTATGGTGTGGTCCTGTTTCTCATGGTTTGGCCTTGGGCCTTTGGTGTTAGTGCATGGAACCCTGAACGAAAAAGGGTATAGAGACTTCCTGGACAATTCGGCGCTTCCCACCTTGTGGCAACAGTTCGGTAATGGCCAGTTTGTGTTTCTACACGATAACGCTGCTATTCATAAAGCACATGCCATCACGGACTGGTTTGAAGAAATGGGGGTGCAAGAGCTTGACTGGCCATCCCAAAGTCCCGACATCAATCAAATTGAGTATCTCTGGGATGAGTTGGAACGCCGGTTGAGGGCCGGACCACAACGTCCCAAAACCACCACTCAAGTCATCGCCATGTTACAGGAGGAATGGCGGGCAATATCGGTCGCCATGTACCAACACCTAATGGATAGCCTTCCTAGAAGGGTTAAAGCTGTGATTCGGGCGCGTGGCGGCCCTACACCCTACTGACTTCATACTAGCACCTCATGTATCCGAAATGAGGGGCGTCCGGTCATTAATGGCCAGATAGTGTATGTTTGTTAAAATGGAGATTTTGGCTGGTGCCTTTTTCCATAGTATTATTTTTTAGGTCTCTTTTATCCGGTCCTTAACCTAGTGTATTTTTAAATTAAACCTAATGTATTTTGATAGAGTAGCTCAGGGGATAAAGCGTTCGCCTCCCAATGAGGTGCCCCGGGTTCGAATCCCAGGGATGACTGTTCGATACGAATTCCGCACCCAACTTGCACCGATAAAATATCCTCAGTAGTAGACAGATTATGGGTTAGAGTCACCTTACCGTCAGACTAACCGTTGGAGGTATTCCTCTCCATGTAACGCAAATGCGGGTTAGTTCCATTGAAAATTCCTTCCCGAAGGCAAAATTTCTCCTAATACTTGATCCTGGAGTTCCCTTGTCTTCTGGATTAGTTTCAAAATGACAAGGCAGTGGAGTTAAACATTGGTACTTGTAAACTTAAAATTGGGTCGGCTGTTCAACGATGGTTATAAAATAAAATAAAATATATTTTGATGATAGTCAAATGCATATCAAGGATGACAAAACAAAAACATTAAAAAGAACGTCTATATTTTTTTTATCAATTATTTACAGTTTATTATGCCTTTTACCTATTTGCAATTGTTTGATTCCACTACATGAGTGACAATCACGTGCTCAGTCTATTTGAACAGAAGATCGTTTTCCCCCACGCTATTACTTGTTTTGATACATGTCTGAAGTCTAATATTTGTCTTAGAATCACGTGGTACAATACAGTTGCATACTCCACCAATAGCAGCCATAGAATTCCTCACTCTTTAGCCATTCATCAAAATTTGAAGTCATTTAATGAATGAATTGAACAAATACTCAATGAAATCGATATTGTAAAACCATTGACGCAACTTTTATTGAAATACAAGAATTCCAAACATGTCTATAAACAGAATTGTTTTCTTCTTATATAATATAAATATATAGGTAATTTTGGTGCGTTCTAAGCAAATATGAATGGTTCAACTTATTTTAAGTCTTGGGTTGCATAACTAAAAATATGTAAGGCCATTTGTTTTATTATATGTTCCGCCCCTTGCTCACCAACCGCCGTGACTGCTTTTATTTTGTCGCTGTTTTCTTCCTAAAAGACAAATAATTTTTAATAAATAATTGAATAAAGGTAATCTTGTCAATAAAAGATATAATAATTATAAATTTATGTAGGGACATTTTGTTAATATGTTAAACATAACTTGATGAGGAATTATCTGGATTTAGAAAATAATCAACTATGCTTGAAAGAATATTGAACTTAGAAATACGGAAGGTATGACTCAGCAAGAAGAAATTAATTACAATTAATTTTACTCATTAACAATATGTAAACCGTTAAATTAGCTCAAATTTGTAACGGTTTTATTTGTCGTGGATTAAGTTCTTTTCGCGTTTTTAAAAATTTCAATATTTTAATATAAATGTTGATGTTTTTATCTAGCAAGATCTAATCACTCCTTCATTCTCTCTTTTCTCACTTTTGGCATCAACTTAAGCTCGAGCTTATAAAATAAAGATCTCGAGAAAGTGGTAAAGGAAATTTCCTGAGACAACAAATGAACAGTCATTATTTAAAGTTTAAATAATTAATTGCGTTAAAAGCGCTAAAAAATTGCGATAATTTAAAAAAATTAGAACTTGAAAAAAAAAATACTCTTGTTAAATAGTTAAATAAGAGAAAGCATTTTCAGCTTGCCAAATTTCAACTAAGTTGCATTTCTGTCAGGTGCGTAGCGGTCTGCATGGTAACTTTTGAAACCAACTAAACAGCTTACAGCACTAGGAAACAAGTTTTTTGTTGCATTTATACAAATATTTTTTCGATGTCCGCCAGAGGAATGATCTACGTCATACAGGCATCTGAAGGGCAGATTTATTGGCCACTTCTTCAGGGGCACCCCATCAGGTGGTCCAACGTTGCTCGCACAGTAAGAACAGATAGTACATAGAAGGAAAGAACATCCATGCCTTAACCGGGACTCGAACCCAGAACCTTTCTGATGCAAGGCCATTTCCCTGACCCCTACACAGCAGGTCGGCATTTATACAAATACTTCGTCTAGCTTAATTCCGATGTGGGAATTTCAAATCTGAAATTAGTTTTGCTCTTAAAGCTGTACATTTTTCAAAATGACACTTTTGGGGTTTTTTTTGCCGAAATGTATAAGTCTTTTTTTTGTGTAAATGTTGCGACATATTTCTAGGGGAGTAGTACTTAGGATGCATCATCAAGATCAAAATTTCATAGGAACCCATGCTTGGAAATACCGTACGCTTCTTTATTATAACGGTCGCTATCAGTATCGGTCATTCACCTATTAGAATAACCTGTTAGAATCATACGACGAAACAGTTCGAGAGACCGAAGCGTCCCTAGCAGCGTATAACGACTTTTTCGACTATATTCCAATGCAATTCTAATCCTGATGAAGCGCCCAATTCCCCTAGAAGTTTATCGCAGCATTTATGTGACCCCCTTATATATATATTACATTTTGAAACTTGCTCATTTGGACAAAAAATACACTAAAATTGTGATTTAAAAATATTCTATATCGTAAAAAACTGTATACCTCACAATTCAAAATTTTTTCGACTATTACTTAATAAAATAATAAAAAATAATGAAAATTTACTAAAATTTATTTTTTGCATGGAACTATCTTTGGATAAATGAAAGTTAAAACTGTGTTGCAAAATTTTTTAAATTCGCTTAAACAGTTCTAAAATCGTAAAAATTAAAATTACTATTAGGAGGTCCAAACTTTAGATAACTCTTCTGATCAAACTATAGGGACACTATTTTCCAGAGGGAGGCTGTCCCTATATTTTGGGGTCCGAAATCCGAATCCGTCGAAAAAAGGTTATGTTCATTTAAAGAAAGAACTTTTTTTGTGTCTGATTTTGTAACTTATTTTCGCCTATGTGAATTTACCCTTTTGAATCATTAAAATGGAGACCTAAAACCTATCATTAGACCAAAAGCTTTTCAGGGTGGTCCATTTTTTTCCCAGCGCACTATAAATATTTCTACACACCTTCGTAATTTCAGGTTTCGAAATGGATTAGTTTTTGCGCACAAAAAAAAAGCGGTATCGGTGGCATAAAGGGGATTTTCATCCTAGTGTTTCAAGTTTTAGAAAACATTTTTTGTCTAACAAATCAAATTAGAATTTAATGAAAAACTCAACGTAATTCACGAAAATAATAGTATTGTTTACCGAATTAGATTTTTAAACTACCATTTGTTATTCTATCATTGAAAAAGAAAATAAAAAAATCCATTTGAGTGTGTAGATTCTTGACTGGGCGATTATTTGAGGAGATTAAATGTCGGGCTCTTATCACAACGCTTGAATGACGACAGAGTATGCATTCCGGAAAAGGTATTATTTGGTGAGTTTATCCGTTTGTCAAAGACACCGCCAAAAGTAAAAGTTGCTTTGCTTACTTATTTCTTGAAAGGATCACCATGACATTTGAAACATGGGATTCATCAACGGTTGGCGTTCCCTTACAGTTTCAAATGGAAAAAGAATGTTTTTATCGAACACAATTTGCATTTGCTTATTGATTATGATAACACTCCCTGCTATCATTGAACTTGAAATGGTTAAAGGTACTTGAGAAATTTTTTGATTTCTGGCATGAATGAAAGTTCGAGCACACCTATTTTATTTTATTTTATTTTATAACTGGTGGCGTGGAACAGCCAACCCAATTCTGAGTTTACGACTACCAATGTTCGAGTTCGTAGCCTTGTAACTTTTAACCCCATCCAGAAGACAAGCGAACTACCGGATAGAGTATTAGCAGAAATTTGCTTTCGTGGAGGACTTTTGATGAAACTAACCCGCATTTGCGTTATATGAAAAGGAAAACCTCTCACGGTTAGCTATTGATTTTTATTTTACTTTACAACCGTCGTTGAAGAGCCGACCCAATCCTGAGTTTACGACTACCAATGTTTAACTCCGTTGCCTTGTAATTTTGAATCCAAACCAGAAGACAAACGAACTTCCGGATCAAGTATGGGAGAAATTTCCCTTCGTGGGGGACTTTCTGATGGAACTAACCAGCATTTGCTTTACATGGAGAGGAAAACCACAAAAACCTCAATCATCAGCCTGATGGCAAGGAGACTCTAACCCAGTGTTTCCCAAACTTATGACTTTTGTGTACCCTTTCTAAATTTTTCGTAACGCTGTGTACCACTAATAAAAAAATGAATGTACTTTTTACTATAAAATAACTACACAAAAGTTAAAAACCACAACTGACTGTTGACATCACTAAATATTAGCTGCTAACTTTGCAAAAAATAGCCAGTAGAAAAATACGTACTCGTAAATTTTAATGGCTAGCTTCGTTTTAAAATAAAATGCTTTGAAATTTTCGTTCGTTGCAAGACATTTAGCATAAGAACGCGTACCCCCGCTAAACTGTTCCCGTACCCCTGGGGGCACGCGTACCACACTTTGGGAAACACTGCTCTAACCCATGATCCGTTTACTTCTAAGGATATTTTACATCAGCCCTGCAGTTGAGTGTAGAATTCGTATCGACCAACCATCGAACTCTGGTCACCTCTTTGGATGGTGGAGTACCACTATTACATATTTTTTTTTCATTAAAGAGATTATATTGTTAATTTTCGCGTTTCAAAAATTAAAACAAAATGCACCTAATACTCCTTCGCTCAGACCTTTTGGCCTTCGCTCGTTCAAGTTTGCTGAAACCTTAATATGTTGCTAAATTGAATCTTCTTAAATTTCGTCACAGATTTTGAGAATTATTTCGTCCCGAAATCCCGTGATTATGACGAAATGGGGACTCCAAGAAATATGACGAAAATGTTTAAACTCGAAATCGTTGTACATAGTGGGAGATTGTTAACTAGAATGACGAAACTGGGATGAAGTACAGACGGTCGAAAATAAAGTGGCGAAATAAGCAGATTGGCCAGTATGGTGATCAAAGATTTAGCATCGTACCAGGAAGATCTCAAGTTCGAATCCCGCTTCGTTCATGGGTGTCATTTGTCTCTGTTCTACTTGTCTTTCTAGTGTTATTATGATGACAGTGGTATGACCAGTTACGTAGCTTCCACAATAAAAAGGTTTTTAGGAAAGTTAAATACAGTAGGTATTACAAGGGTTTCTTTTTTTACAAAAAAAAAATAGAATGATGAAATATATCTTACTATTAATTAAATTTGTTTCCTCGAAGAAGAAAAGATGGTTATTTATTATGACACATAAAAAGAGTTGACAGAATAAAACGACATTTTACATGAGTATGTACGACGTTGTTGTTAGTAAGTGATGAAAAAAATAAAAGCAAAATTATTATCTGTTGCTGCAAAAAAAATACAAATGCAAGATGCGTGCCCTCTTTGGCCACTTTTAGCGAGAATCCAGGATGCGATACGGTCGAGTATTGAGGCATACGTCCTGCATCCCTTATGATGTCTTGCGGAATCTCGTTTTCATTATTGCTGTAAAAACACCTCCTAATCGACTAAACTAGGAGGCTGCCGTTCCAAGGAGTCACATTGCTCAGTTTTCCCAAGCGTCCCCCCGCATGATATATATATATATATAAATACGATAAATCAATTATATCTTCAATTAGCTGAATTCAGCTATGAAAAGGGAATTATGAAATTTCTGCTCCGTCTTAAGCTTACTTTAATGTATATAAATAATCTATATTTAGACTTTCAAAAATGTCATTACTCTTAAAAATCGATGAAGCAATGCGCACTTGATGAAAATTACTTAAAAGGTCTATTTTTAAAAGATTATAACTATATTAAAACTCATTTAGGGTGAAGCAAATGCAGTCAGAGTTCAATTTAGCACATTTATAAGGTAAACTATCACTTGATTAGCTGACAATTAGAGCTAACAAGATAATTGTTGAAAAAAAGCAGTTAAAGAATCACTTGATTTGCGGATAATTGTAACTACGTTGAACAACAATATTTTATTTATTGCTTATCTCTTAGTTTTGCTTATATTTATTCCTTATAATGAGTCATTTAACTAACTAGGGAGTGATAAGCAGTAGTATTTTTTTTAACTA